CCTCGCCTTAGGAATATAGTATTTTAACATTATATGAAAATACCACTCAAGCTGCAAATATATTCTTTGACATGCTTAATTAAATACATTTGTATTTAAAATTTTATTATCCTTGTCCTTAGCATGACCAGATCTAGTTAAAAAGTAACTATTGGTTTTGCTTCAAAGTAATGTCATTGGTGAGCTTACAAATGAAAGATGTTTTTTATCACTGCATACTCACCAGCAGCCATTTTGCTTTGATTCAAATGCAGTGGTTACTTTAGGTGGTTATGGTTCAACTGTATTCAAGGGACATTCATTCTTATCCAATGTTTTTATTTCTTCTCAGAATTTCACCTCAGCTTTCCGCCCACGTGGAACAAGCTTTAATTATAAACACATCTACAACCAGCCAGACACCACAGAACGACCACTTATCCCACCGTATGGTGGACACACACCCACCTCTCCTGGGCTAGAATCCTATGGGTCAATGGGAAGATCACCGAAGGAGCTAAGAAGTGGACAGACTTACCCAAAGATATAACAATGCAAAGGGTATTATATATTTATTTTACATGTAATGGACTCYGCACAGATGACACTGTTTAGATGTACTGAAATCCAAGATAGAAAATTTAGTCACACATCTGAGGGAATAGTTTATAAGGCTATAAATGGCTTTATTGAGTCCCTGTGCTATCTATAAGTGCTGGTGTAATTTATTGTTCCTGGGGATGACAGGAAGTGCTGGATGTAACTATTTTGTATCCCCTGCAAATGGAGGGAAGTGCTGGTTTTAAGTAACCTATAATTTCCTTTGGGTGAGGGGAYTGGGAGGTTAAAAAGATCTACAAAGACTAAGTTCCATATCAAAGGAAATTAAACAGTCAATGGTTTGTAAAAACGTTTTTGAAATTAAGGTAAATTAAATATTTTGTAATATAAACATATCCTGTCTTACAATGACTCAACATTGGCYAATATATAAAAAAGGAATCCATTTTTTTAATTATTTTTTGTCAACAAATTCTCATTATTATACACAAATATGAATGGTATCAAAGGATATCTATTTGTAAAATAATACTGTCAAGGCACAACAACAAACATACTCTGAAAACTGGAAAGGATGGGTCGTAATTTTTCAGTTTTGGTTTGAGATGCAAAAAGTCAAGTTACTGCAATGAAAACAATTGTCGTGATATATGACATGTTACTCTGAAGAAGGATTAAGGAAAACAATGTATTAACAGTGTGAAGATTACATTTTAATCTATGCATTACTATATTGATGACACACTACATTTGTAGTGCTTGTTCAAGATAAAAAACTTGTAATAAACATATTTATTTATGTACAATGTTAATTGTATAGTAACTTAACATATGAATGTTGTGTAAATATCACAAATTTCATTAAATTAATGATGTAAACCAGGGGTAACTAGTAATAGCTCTGTCAGTGTTTCTATAGAAATGTTTTATTGTCAGTGTTAAAAATGACTCGTTTGCACAACATGTTCATTAACTTGATGTTGCGGCTCATGAAAAAAMCTGAAAACTGAAGATACAAATCAGTAACAACTAGTCATTGTCTCCTTTGTAACTGTCATCATAGTGACCTCACAGTCATCTGTTTCTTTGTTCAGCTGACTAAAGAATGATTAAATTATTTGCTGTCTTTTTCATTTTAGTGACTTTTTAAAAAATGCAGCATATCCTCATGTAAACTTATAATTAGTATGCAACCTATGTCATTGTATTTAAATGTTTTTTTTTTAATACTTCTGGGGCAGTAGGAGCCTTGCATTGTAAATAGGTATATTTTGTGTGAAATGTATGTTTTGGTTATGTAACCATACCATATCACTTCAGTTGTGTTTAAAAAATCATTTTTTAAAAATGGTATGTAAACGTTTCATTGTACATCAAATAAAAATGAACAATTTGTAATAAAAACATGTTTTTATTAATAATGATGACTGCCACCTTGGCAGCAGCTAGCAAAACTTTGTATGAGGTGTTTACGCCTTAGAACTCTTGCCTAATGCTATGTTTTCTTTAATTTACACCATTTGGTTCTGTTTTAAGTGTATTATGTATTCTTTGAAATGCTTGGTGAACACTGTTTTGTCAACGTTTGCAAAGTATATTCTCAGGAGCACCTTTCCTTCACACTTCCCTCTAACATCTTGAAAGGTAGCCATGCCCTTGCATCAAAGATAAGTGGGTAAAATATGGAATGTCTTTGATTCAATGCTTAAGTTAGCTTTCATGATTACATTAATTTTCATTACATAAAATAAAAAAAAACAATGCAACACAAGTATTATACTTTCTTTATTTTATTATTAATTTCACATGTAATGTTAATTTGTTTGGAAAACTAACTAATTATTTGACTAAATGTGCAATTCAATTATAAATCTGCATTTATTTTTGGGCACACCACACATGAAATAAATAATCACCGTCCTGTTCTTGCTTCAAGATTATACTGTTAGTTGTGAAGTGATCATATTAATCAACCTTAAATCTTATCCTATTCAACTCAGAAACATACCTAATTAACAAAGTATTGCTAGGTACATGCTAGAGTCATTCTTGCCCCCCAGATCCTTGTCACTTTCTCAATAGAATATCAATGGCTGCCTTCGATTTTAATTTGGAAAACTGAGAAGAATGTGTGTTATAGGCTAAAGTGGGGTATTATTAAAATAGAAATCATATGCTAATACCCTTTATTAGTCAATAATAATTGTTGTTTAGTAATTGATATTAAATAGAAATTTGAATAATTTTCATTGCACAATGAAAGAGCATAGGTTAATAGATTCTAGTAGACCCTCATTTCATTGTTTTCTTTTGTTGAAATATGAGTATTATATACTATGAAACATAGTAGTTCATAGAGTGGTTCTCATTAACCTGTGAAATACACTTTAGCGTATTACACTTTATTACACTTTGTCTCTTTTGTTTGCTATTATATTTCTTGGCTATTACACTTTGACTATTACACTTTGTTTCACGGGTTAATGAGAACCACTCTATTTCACATATTGTTAATTACTATTATATGGTAGTTTTCTTTTGTTTCTGTTGGGCCATTTCACCTTTGACAGTTATAATACAAGTATTTGCCTATTTCCAAACATCCCCTTTTTAATTGGCACATTTTAGTATAACCCTCTTACAAAACAAAAGTTTTAAKTTAGTAATACCATAGATGTTYCCTTTCATTATTTAGTTTTTAGTAAATTTGTAGTTTATGCCACTGTGCAATGGGTTTCCTTGGATTATTCATCATTTCAGTCCAGTGTTTCAATGAACTCCCYGTTGTACGATAACCAAGGATTACTTGACCAATCAGCTCATTGCGAGTGATGCGATCATAGTCCATTACATTAAACACAAATGTCATATCACGTATCTTGTCAAGTGGTACATCAATGATGAATGATTCATTCCATACTGGGTTTGTCGTTCTCTTTTTTATTGTTGTTTTCTTCTTGTCAATACGTCGGTCTTTGTGTAGAACATATATCTTGATGTATGGATCTGTGGATTGACTTGCACTCTTAATTCAACTTCCTCCCTTACTAAATGGGGATATATTTTAGATACAAAATATATATCTTTTTGTATCTCCATTTGGCAAGGTATGTCACTCTGGTGCAATTTACTTGACACAACATTGGGATTTTGCACATTTTTTTTCATTTCCATTTTTTCAGGGGTGGGGGAGAGAAAAWATATTTTCACTGCATCTATATTTGTGTTTTTCTCTCCATTTAAATAAGTGGTCAATTTACCTGAAGAACCAATAATGTCCATGGCTTTAATTTGATTGGCTTTCATCACGACTACTATAATCCGGTTAGCWGTAGGTTGATACATCAGGGATATCAGTAGATCACCTAATGGAGTCTGAAACAAAATAATATCATAAAAACTTATACTGCACATTCACAATTATGCTTGTTAATAGTTTGATAGTACATTTACTCAGTCTACATTAGGAGATAAACTTGCATTAAATTAGTGACAATATATTGCCTTATTTTTTTTCCGGTCCGGTATCCTAGACATTCGCGCATGGTGATTGGCTAGCGAGTGGTCCAGTTTTTCACGATCTGCCCGGTCCACGGTATCCTGCAGCTAGGCTGCGAGCAAAGTTGCATAAAATACAAAAAAGGTCGGTCCGTATAGGAAAACACAGCCCTCGGTCTTTTATGTAATACATAATGGACCTTGCTGGGCTCGTTCTATTTGGGCAGTGTTTTACTATACAGACCTCCCAGCCAGTAAATAACATATCTATAATTTACATYATCATTTAATTGTAAAGTCAGAATATTTTAAGTCTCTCTAGAGGCCTCTATGCCGTGCCTAATAAAAGGTTGTAGTGCCTGATATACAGTKATCTTAACAATTCTTAATTATCAGTGGMCAGTTTTATTATTGATCAGATATGYATCTATCTCCCAGCTGCTTTTCTTGCCTGAGTTTCATCCAGCGTTTACCATAAACCACGAGAATAAACCAAATGTACACAGACTACTACTTTGCAGGGTTTGATCTTTTCATATAGTTATGTCAACTGATAAGAGTCACACWTTTTTATATACCAATAACAGTCATCAGGACCACTAGATCCCTGCTGGTTAATTAGGCTTAATGTATTTTAGATTAATGTATTAATGTATGGTTAATGTATTTTAGATTTGTAACCTTTCATCATATAAAATGTGACAAAAATTGAAATGTTGCAAGTAGAGCAGAGAAACTAAATGTCATTGTCAATCTTAAAGTTATTGTGAAATAAGCACAAAAATATAAATGAAATTAGAGATTTGTTTTAGCAAACTCTGTGAGTAKAGAGTTCCCAAGGATTAAGGTAGATGACACTCTGATCACAGGGTCTTATCTCTTTAGTGGCTTTTTGTTATAATCAATCAATCTATCAACATAATTACCAAGATATCATCAGATAAGTGGAGWTCTTACATATATTTAGTCACTACAGATAGATGTATTATCTCAATTATGATCAAGTGCAACTTGGACTGTTTTTTTGCAGATAGTTCTACAATATAGTTCTAACAATAGTTCTACAACTGCGTACTCTTACCAAAAACATCAAGTACTCAAAAAAAAGAAGAAAAAAATTACAGGACACACCTCAAAATATTATACTATAGTATAATCATCAAATTGTATAGTTGATTTCAAAAACTGTTGTCTATTTCAAAAGAAATAAAGACATGAACCACAAAGTAATTTGTAAAAAAACTTACTTGAAGACCTTTGCATGGTTGTAAATTCTTGGCATAATTAACAATCATTGGACCAAGCTCAATGTTCTCTAATGGAATCTCTACTTCACCAATTGGATCATTCCTAGAAAATCTATCGTAGTCTAACACCTGTAAATAGAGTGTCCKTCCCATCAATTTGTTGTGAGGGAATCCYTCGAATGTGAAGATCTCATTCCACACAGGGTTGAGATTCTTTCTCTTTATACGAGTCTCYAGTTTGTGYTTTTTGTCAGGTAGAAGTAAAATTTTCACAAACGGATCACTMGTYCCACTCAAGTCTTTGGCAGGAAGTCCAACTGCCTTCTGAATTCTCAATGTTAAAACCATTTTATTTGAGTCGTAATTTAATGAGAAAAATAAGCATCCTAGTTCATCATCTGAGTTGCTGTCCCTTGGGGGAGGGGGTGCGTCTGGAAGTTCAATATCTGTGATATTAGGTTGAGGTGTTTGGATTTCATATTTATGAATTGGTGGTTGTTTAAACTTGATTGTCTTGCGGCCAAAATGAGGTGAYGAGCGGTTAGGGTGTATTGCTTCTGGGCTTGAGCCTGGAGGACTGGTTGGTGTAGGATGGTACTTTCGTGTTGTRCTGCGRTATTTTGTACTTCTTTGCTGCTTAAAYGGTCTGGTCTTGACTGGTAATGAAGACACCCTAGGACGGGGATCCAGGGGCTTGTAACCAGTCAGAGATTCAGAGCTTGAGCTGAGCYCATCAYCATCTTTTTCRTCRCTATTTTTCCAGCACTTGTAACACCAAGAACAAATGACAACAATTGTACAGAGAGATACCACACTGGCAAATATTGGAGCTAATTTGGTGGAATAATCTAAAAACAAAGCAAAGTCTGAATCATAGGTCCATAAAATACACTTATCCCTCACCCCCTCCCCCCTTATGTCAACTTTTGTTAGTAGAGATATCACAGGGGCAGAATAAAGATTTTCTTCAAGGAAAGAGTATAGTGCATACAGGAGGGTTGTACACCACAAAAAAGATCACAAAAGAGACAAAATATAGAGAAAGTATTGAAGGATAGAAGGTGGGGTGTGCACCCCCTGAATTTAACAGCTGGATCAACCCCTGGAAATAAATTTATGTAAAAAGAGAGCAATG